CATTGGCTATTAGATGCAAAATACTCTAAACTAGGGTTTTTTTGGTGGTATCACCTGCTGTTTTATTTTTTCATTTAATTTATTGGGGTGAAAGTGGTTAATAAAATTAAATAGGTTTCTATAATACATTATCTGTATATTTTATTGTGTGTTTACTACCCCAAGTCGCCACCCTGATACCTTCTTCTACCTCCCCCCTCCCCCTTCTCTCTCTGGTAATCATCATACTGTTGTTATCTGTGTCTATGAGGTGTTTTGTTTTTAACCAGCTTTTTTAATAACTAGCTTTCCTTATTCATTTTTATTTTCTCTACTGAATATAAAAAATCTTATCATCTTCAACAATAGCAATAAACATTTTTTGGTAAGCTTCTAACAGCAAGGCTGTTTGCTAAAAAGTAAAGATGCAAAGATATAAATATTGTCCCTCAGGGAGTTTACAGTACACTGGGATTAAAAAAAAAAACACCTAAATACATGAAAATACAAATAAAATACAAGGCAATATAAAAGTGACAAATGCATGTTCTTAGCGGTAATATGGGATTCTGAGAAAGGAAGAGCTTTCCTAATATTAGGACAAAGAGAGCATGACAAAGGACTTAAAGCTGGAGCTTAGTGCAAAATTAGTAGAATTTGTACTAATGAAATAGACATCAATTTATTGAAAAAAAAATGAAGAAAGGCTTTTGGCATTCTGGATAAAGAAACACGTGAGAGAACAATAGATTACAAGAAGGTGCTGTGAACCCAACCCAAACAACAGATGAGAAGGGAAAAGCAGGCCCTTACTTCTCAGGAGTTGAGGATATTTATCACATGGTAGGATATTCCTATAGCCTCACTAGCTTCTGCAAAGGCTCTGCTCTTAACAGTTGAACAATTTATTGCCTAATTATTTCGTTTGCCCTTTTGAGGAGCCTCTCTGCAGGACACTTTCCCAGAGTGAGCGTACAAAACGTGGGCCCCTGGAATGTCACCCCCCACACACACACTGCATTAAAAGCAAAATAACCTTTTATCAAATGCTTTGTGACCATTTAGAATATTGAATTTGTGTTTTCATCGTGGAGTTCAACAGGAATATAGCCAGTGGGAAGGACTTAATTACAAATGATGTCTTTCTCATGGTTAGGCTGGTCATCTCCAGGGACGCTTTAATGAAGTGCGGAGCCCGCAGACAGGAAAGGTCAAATGGCTTCCCTCCCCACTACCCCAAAGTGCACATAGCTTCACCTTTATGCCAGCAGATGGTCAAGCAGGTACAATACTAGCCTGAGGTGGAAATTCCAGGGGACTGAAACTCACATGGTTGTAGTTCTCTTCAATTCAGTGGATAATAGAGCAGCCTCTTTTAGAGTTAGAAGAGGAGGTGATTTTAAATATAAATGTATATTTCGTTCTAAGTGTTATATGCTGGAAGGAATGCCATTCTGCTGGTGAATTTATTACATATTCATGGTATCTTAGATCGATATTCTTTAAATGGTGAAAATTTCCTGCTATGTTTATAGTATGCACACATTTAAGTTTGTATTAGGTTAAGCCAGATAAAATTGCCTTTTTGGATTGGTCAAAAATAGTTGAATATTCCATTTTATTGGGTTCAGTCTGGTTACTCAAATTGTCTAACAATTGGCAAAAGAATACAAAGTTACATTTTATGACACCATTCTGATTTAATTTTCATTCTTAAAAAATACTTTTGTACACGATCTTTTCAAAATGTGCAGATTCATATATCCATTATCTCTAACTTTGTGTTTGCTTTTTCAGAACTGTCCTTGATTTTCAACTTTGATTTTTGAGCTTTATATCTCTACAATAGCCAGGTAATTTATAGGAAAATGTGACATAAAGTTTAAGCACATAAGTCATTTTTAAAATATTTGGTGTGTTTTTTTCTTGAAACTAAAAAAAGCTGGTCATCCTGCCTTCTCCAAAGTAAAAACAAAAACACCTCAACGTGCAATGGAAAACATGGGTTTCCACATGAATTAATAATGTTAATAACTAGAGGGGATCTTTATTTACAGAACACCCTTTTGATATGGTTTTCCTTTGAAAAGATATTTGGGTCTTTAATATATTTTTAACTTACACCTTTGTAAAATAGTTGGTCATGAAAAAGATTTGTATTTTATTTACTTACTCAATTTGTTTAACCAAAGCTTATTATGACTTTGTTTGATACATAATAACACTGACTGGTCAAAGTAATGTGTTCCTCTGTAAAGCACTATTTAGTGGAACGTTCATTAACAAAACACACAAAAAATTTTAAAGACTAAAGGTAATTCCAATGTAAATTTTCAATAATGAGTAAAAATGAGCCCCAAAAGAATGAAAATGTACATTAATAATTAAATTAAGCCTGAATAACACTTAAAACACACATATTGCCCTAACCGGTTTGGCTCAGTGGATAGAGCGTCAGCCTGTGGACTGAAAGGTCCCAGGTTCGATTCCGGCCAATGGCATGTACCATGGTTGCGGGCTCATCCCTAGTAGGAGGTGTGCAAGAGGCAGCTGATCGATGTTTCTAACTCTCTATCCCTCTCCCTTCCTCTCTGTAAAAAAATCAATAAAATATATTTTAAAAACACACATATTGACAGATTAAGTACTTATGATTAAAAATACTGGAGATCTTTTAACAAAGACCAGCAACCAGGCAACTTGGAAGGGGAGGTAGGAAACAGGGGTGAGGAAGGAAGACAAGGAACAACAGAGGTGAGTAGCCGCCATTATTTCTTGAAGCTTATCTCAATTGAGGTTATACCTGAAATTGAAAAAAAAATTCTAATGTAACTCATTGTGGTCTAAGTTGCAAAACAGATGTTTTTGTGTGGCTAACAATTTCTGAAGAGAATGCACTGTGTGCTCTTAATGTTCTGATGACATAAATATAGGAAACAGACTCGAGATAAGGGGACAAGGGCCATCTATGGGCCAGCTGATTTGATTTATCCTCAGGGCAATTCCCAGAAATTCTTTTTTTAAGCTGAGGGAACACGATCAGTATTTAAACTATCCTTATATGATCGCATAGCCACACACCACCAGCCTTACCACCTTTATGGAGCTTTAATATAAAGGATATCTGTTTTTTAAGTCTAATTCCTTTATGTTCCTTAAAACACATAACATTCTGGACATTTACAAGAAACTGCATAAGCGCTCTTTTCATCCTTAACAAGCAGAGGTGTATCATATTTATATTGGCAGCCCTTGAAATAACCACAAAATTAATGACATAAAATTACAAATCTTTTAGGGGCCTATGGGGGCGGGGGGAGACAATAAAACAAAAAATCAATGAAAAGAGGCGTCTTGCCTACTAGGTTTTGAAATTACAAGAAAGGTATTGAATAGCCTGTTGGAGGATTCATTTTTAATTATTTCATTTCGAAAATAACTGTCTTCGTTTAGTGAGGGTTTGTGAGTAGCTGGTTTGTCTTTGGAATGAAAGCTTTCCAAGAGGCACGTGTTAAATTTCCAAAAATCCGAATGGGAGGCCAGGGCGAGCCGGGGCACAAGAGCTGGAGAACTGGTGAAACACGTCAGGGAAAAGCAGGAAGATTTCTTACTGTTTTTTTAGACCTCTTTCCCGCCTCTCTCCAAAGAGGAAGCTGCCTCGGTGGTTTAGGATTTATCTTTAAGACAATAGCGCCGCTAGCCGCCTCCGCACAGCTCCGACTGCGCGCTCCCTCTCCGCGCGCCCCTCCGGACCCGCGGCCTCTCCAGCTCCGTAGCCCTAGGGGTCACCTGCCCCACCAATCGCCTGCCTCACCTGCTCCCCTGTCCCATTAACGACCCTCCCTACTAGCTCGTCTGCCCGCGAGAACCCCTGCTCCATCAAGCACCCCTCCCGCACCAACCCTCTGCTCCCTCATCCTCTGCCCCAGGAGACCCGCTACCCCACTGGTCCCCCGTCCGGCCGGCGCCCCAGCAGCGGCGGTTGTGATGAGCCCGAAGTCCGCCCCGCTCCTCACCCAGGCGGGTGGACGGGAGCCTGGAGCGTGGCCGCGAGCCCCTAGAAACCTCCAGCGCCCACAGCGCCCACAGCGCCCACAGCGCCCTGCACCCGCCTCTCCTGCCCGCCAGCCTGCGCCTCGCCTGGCGAGCGCCCCTCGGGCTTGTTTGCTTGTCCTCGTCCCCGGGCCAGCCCCGCGCCCTCCTCCCGGCTGCCTCAACAGCCTTTGCTTCCTGCCGTGTGTTTCTTTTTTCCCCTCCTAGGCTCCATCAAAGGTGGCTCTGTTATTGAAATATGAAGCCATTTCCTCTCCAAAACCCTTGGTTACTCAAGGCGGGAATCAATGGACCTATATACTCTCCCAGGAGTTATAAATAAATGTCTATTTGTTCAGGAGGCGTTTTCCCGCGTGTCCCAGCATCTTCCAGCGGTTATTTTAGGGGCGTGTGTGTGTGTGTGTGTGTGTGTGTGTGTGTGTCCCCATGAGCGCCCTGTGCCCATCTGGTCTAATCCTGGGTATGGATCCATAAGCCAACCCCACCCATCTCGTCTGCCCCTCGCATTCCACGCTCTATAAATAAATCCAGGTTTCTGAGCTCTGTCATCCAGGGGTACAACAGTTGTTTGTCTGTTAAAGGAGATTCCAACCCAATAGCGATACTGAGTCCAGAAAACAAGAAAATAGCCCTCTGACAATTGCAGCGGAAGGGCACCTCCAGTTTAGGAAGCGTTATCTGCTGTGGTCAGAACTGCCTCCCTACCTGGCTACCCTGGATCTACTTTGGGGAAACGGAGGCTAGAAAGCCACGATCTCTCTCCTACCCTTGAATTTCCCTTGTTAAGCAGAGGCTAAACAACAAAGCGAAAGTTCCGTGTCCCGGGGCGTCTGCCTCACCCCGCAGATCATTTCCCAGAGCCCCTGGCCCCATCCCCTCTGGACGCACCTCAGAGCGGTGAGGCTGCAGGAGGTGTGGTGTGGGTGGGGGCTTGTGGTTGTAGCTGTTGCTTTCCCTGTACTTGGGGATCCGAGCAGAGGGGAAAGTCATCTAAGAGCTGCTGTTTCACAAGGTCTGGGCACAGAGCTGCCCCTCCCTTCCTCCCTGAAGTTTGCATGAAGTGCACGTTAGGCTGTAATTAGGGGATCTGGGAGGAAAACTTTCCTGGTGACGCTTTGCTTTTCTTCTGCTCTGAGTGAGAAAGTGCCTCCTTCTTCTCTGGAGCAGGACCTCTGCCATCCAGCGCCACAAAGACACATTCTACACACGGACACACACATACAAACACACTCATGCGCGCGCGCACACACACCCTTGCCCAGAGACAAACTTAAGGTGAGGGGAAAGAGCTTTGGCTCCACTGGATCTCCAGGCTCCAACTTCAGCAGGACTTGGGAGCATCTGAACTTCTGGATTTCGGGACAAGGTAAAACTTCCACAATTTTTTTACTCTTTCGTCCAAACCTTGGTGCCTTTAAGATTTCAGAAAGCAATACATATCACGATATTTGTATACATTAAAATAAATTTTCTTATTATTTTCTTTTGAATTGAATGTGACACCTCAATTTTTTTTAGGATTCCTGTCACGTAAAATACTGTATTGCAATAAACAAGCTCAGTTGAATTGGGGTGAGGATTAACTCTAGTATCCTGGCATTTGCTGGTGCTACTATAAATCTGGTAGACGTCTGGTTTCCAAGTAGTGGCTTTTTCATCTGTATTTCAACAGGCATTTTTATAGCACCTGAGATGAAAAAAAAAAAAAGAATAGTATAGGCTGAAGGAAATGCTGAGGAAGGGGACTGTCCATTCCAGACTTTTGAGTTATGTTTTAGGGAATCCCCCCAAAATGTATACACACTTTAACAGCTGATAGCTCAATTTTGAAAATGAAATGTATTTTAATAAACACTGCCTTTATAATCATTCAACGTGTGTGGGTATATTTTTTTGAGTATCCTATATATAGGTGTATGTGGAAATGAAAGTTATTACAATCATAGATAATGGCAGTTAGGTAGATCATTGAGATGTTACCAATTTTGGTCCAGGCCTTGCCAGTTAACTGTGAATTTAAGGTCATAGAATTATGATGCATTTCATATATTGAATCATATTGATGGGTAATGTTAATACACAACAATTTGTGTTATAGCTGTTAAGATTACTTTTAAAACTTGATTAAAGGAATTATGTAAGTGTTGAGACTGTTCACAACCCTAAGCAAATCTGAACTTTTGGGGGCTTAAATGAAGTTGTTTTCTTCCATTGAATATAACTGTTGTGTTGAAAATAAGATAGTTTATTATTTTGAAAATAGATTATTTTATTCTCATTTATTACTGGAAAAATACACAAAGTGGCCAGTACTTGGGAATTTTTAGGGTGGAAAGTGTTCCTGTACATGTTCCAGCGTGATGTCATAAAATCAAACATACTGGCTGGCTTCTTGGAAGCTAACGGTTCTTAAGAAATAAAGCCTGTGAATTAATTTCTAAGTGAATGTAATATTTATTCATTATGAATGTAGTTTCTGGTAACCATTTTTATTTGATTATTTCGGTGTACTAACTTTGAAGTAATTTTATACACACTTCAGTGACTTCAGTATTTTAATGAAATCATAAAATGAGAATTTTGTTCTACCAAAAATATAGCATAGTAATTCTCCTTGGATAACTTTTAATGTAATGTTTCTTAATCTTTACATCAAGTTTTAACTTTATTTCCATTTATTCCTACCCATAAAGAAGTTTTTCCTTCCATTCTGTAAAATGGAATGTATGACAAAGGTTTGGTGAGCATTTAAGCTTTAGTCTTCACTTATTTGGGGGCTATCTGTTATTAATTTAATTGTTGAAGCTAAGAGAGAATGACTACATTTTCGGTAGTCTCTTCATAAAATTGAAGACAGCTTAAAATGGAAAAACGAGATAAGGAGAAGTAATTTTGCTCCCTTTTAATTAAATGATCAAGAGAAAACAAACAGTCTCCAGAGATCAGTGGTCCCCAGGAAGAATGTACCCAGAGTCCAGTATTCCAAATAGGAGGCCAGTGAGCCTGGACTTTCTATGAGAAACAAGAAAGAAGGGAACATCGTGTTCTTATAAAGAGAGCCATTTATGTCAGCAAGAGCCTGTCTCTCAAAGGAATGACTGACACTGTCATTTAGAAGTACTGAAGAGACTTTCACAGATGAATCAATTCATTATACACCTAGTGCAGTGATGGCGAACCTTTTGAGCTCGGTGTGCCAGCATTTTGAAAAACCCTAACTTAACGCTGGTGCCGTGTCACATATAGAAATTTTTTGATATTTGCAACCATAGCAAAACAAAGACATATTTTTGATATTTATTTTATATATTTAAATACCATTTAACAAAAAAAAATCAACCAAAAAAATGAGTTCGCGTGTCACCTCTGACACGCGTGTCATAAGTTCGCCATCACTGATAGTGGTTTCACCTCCTTTTCATCCCTTTGGGAGCAAGTAACACATCCAGGATAAATACATTCAGAGTAAGCAGAGTTTGAGGAGATGGTCGTCCTGCTTTTTAGCGTCCTGGGTGTGAAATACCGGTATTTTACTGAGTAGTCAAAGAAGTCTTTGAAATCTTCGGTAGCACTGCACTTCACCTTTGTAAAGATGAACAAGAGTCATATTCAGAAAATAACTCCCCTTGCCAGAAAGTACTAATTTTCTTTTCTTTTCATGCATGTTTTATCTTCCAAATTATATTTTTAAGATAATGGTATTCTACCAATTAAAATTCCAATAAAATACAAAACAAATTTGAAAAAAAACCCACTTTCACATTATAGTCTTCTGTTGCCTCTAGTTAGTTTTCCAACAGCCTGGATTTACTATTAGTAACCATAGTACCTGGTCTATGTTATTAAATGTACTTAGTCTGTTATTTAAAGGAAACAAAGTGTTGTTGGGGGAAATAGGGAGGGATGGAAACCTGACTATACTTAGGATTTTAATCAATAGTGTTTAAGGAGGATTAGAGGAAGCAGCTGGTTAAATAAATATTAGGTGTAGAGTGGACGTGATGGTATAAATTAATAATGCAGCTCTTTATTTACACCATGAATGGGAAGGTCTGTGACGGTTCAGTGTGTGAAGCATGGTCCCGGGGTGCCACCTAGTGGATGAGTCAAAGAAGGCGTTCACAGCAACCTTCTAAAAAAAATCTGAGATTTCCATTCTGTAGACACTGCATGCAAACTATATGCAGACATTGGGGTAGGTGCTCAGAGTAAAACTACAGCAAGGGACTTTTATATAATTTAAAAACTGAGGGACCACTTAACACTCGATTAAGTTCCCGGTGGTTGCATTTAAAATAAGTTTACTCTTTGTTGGGTAATTTACCATCAACTTTCTGCCTCTATGAGGATACAGTTTAATAACTGAAACTTGCTTCTAATATAGGATTTGTGTTGTGCAGAGTGGTCATGACCTAGTTCAAAAGAGTGGGGAGAGGCTGAATCACCAATCACCTTTTTTTCAAGTGGAAATAAATTTCTGTAAAATGTATTGTTTTCAAGTTTAAAAGGGTAAATACTAGCTTAAAAGTTTAGCACACAGTATCACATATTGCTATGTACATATTCAGATTTTTTCATTATATATAAAAAAGATAATAGTGAAAATTGCTTTTGGGTAGTGAGGTTTGTTTTTTATTTTTCCGAAATATTGCTCTCAAACTCTAAAAATTAGCATATAGAACAACTTCCTCTATACTTGTTTATTCATAGGTAGTTTTTGAAGCAGGAACATTGTTTCCATTAAATTGTCATAATGGGAAAAAAATCCTAGACAGGAACAATTACCAGAAAAGCCAGTGTTTGAAAGAAACTCCGGGATATCATAGAAGATTAATCTATCAGAATATTAAACTGAGAGTTTTGAAAAACTTTTCTCTAGAAGATATATGAATTATTACTCCAATTGGCTCTCAGCAAGATCTATGGCTTAATGGTAATGGTGTTCAGCACATCAGCATTAATCAAGACCAGCTCTGAAATTCAGATGGGAAGGTAAAATGCCTCAGTCGGAAAAAAATGATTAATTTGTTACTTGCTGAGTCTAGAGGTATAATCCATAAATCGGCCTGCCCGGGTGGAACGGAAGTTTCCTCTTTAGGGAACTTCGGTTGTGTGTGTGGCAGTGAGAAAGAAGGAAGCTGCTCATCAGGTCAACTAGTACTATGTGCTGTAGCTCTCACTTTATACCTGGAAAATTAATTCTAACAAAACCAGAAAGTCAAAATTGATGAAAACGGATCTAAAATATTACAAGAGCCTGAGTAACCGAAACAACAAAAAAGTTCTAGGCTCATAGTTTCTGTTTTCAGAGAATTGTGAGCAGGCATCTTGAAAGTCATTTTCACTTGTTTGCTCTCTCTTAGCTGAGTGGGGAAGAGCTTTCTTTCTTGGTTGTGTGGGCACAGGTGGGCCTGGGAGGGCAGCTCTGACACTCCGGGGCTCCAGGAGGGCTATGCTTCCAACAATATGTCTAGTTGGACGGACAGGAAAAGCAAAAAATTCACTTACACACAGTCGCTGTCCTCCAGTTTGCAACTAAAATTCAGACTGAGCACAGAGTGAGTTAGTGCGCACCTTTGCACCAGGCACCATGCTAGGTGTTTCAGAGTCATTGGCTCAAGGACTTCACAAGCTAGTGAAGAAGACAGATGGACACACATCATGAATCACTAGTAAAATTTGCCAAGTAGGTGCAGTTTGCCTTCTTAATCTCCTGGGACTTCTTCCTTTGAACTTATCCAAACTTTCCACCCCCCTCTACCTCTTAACCTGAGACTCCTGCTCTCCACCCTTCAAGCCAGAGGATCTGATACTTCTCTGGTTTATTGATTTCTTGACTGATTACACACGTGTGAATGAGTTTCACTCATGCCTTTACATTTCAAGCTTTTTATCTCTTTAAAGTAAATGTTTTGTTTTCTGTAAAAACAAAAATTCAAACATCTGGAGGCCTAGCCATCTTTACACCAAAGGGTGTAATTAAGTTGATTTACTTTTCCATGGTCTTCAATCTCTCAGGGACTCCACTCCAGAGAGATTCCCTCAAGGCCTGTTTATAAAAAACGTGAAGGACCTAGGGTACTTGTTCCACTGGCTCCTTCTAGCTGAG